ACAATAAAATTATTACAAAAGTGTTAAAAATACTGTTTAACTCCTACACCAGAATTTTCAAAATGATTGCATGTGATGCATCTGGTGAATAAAATTGATTCCAGTAATAAATTGATGAGCACAACAGCTGCCCGGGAGTGTCGGTAGTAGTGGGATGAAATTGATTACAGTTTTATATAGTGGCACAGGGCTGTCCGTGGCAAAGGGCTGTTCTAAAATCCCCCCATTTTAATCCTGCTGCACGGCCAGATTTATCATTGTTTTTATATTCATAAACAGTTGTCTGTGCCACGGGGATGGCAGACATGTGGGTTATAGTGGCAAAACAGACCTGCATGACTCATAAAAATTACTTCCCCCTGCTGTAACTGCCAAAACACTTCTTCACTTAGCATTTGAAGGGGAAAAACATCTGGAATGACTAAGCAGCTTTAATGTGTCAGTTACAGGCATTAGTAGGCTGTGACTTGCCATCCTCCTCTCCATATCAAGGGTTGTGTATACAGCAATAATAGGGGACTTTGGAAAATGCTGGAATAAATTAGACTATAAATAAGACTGTGGAACAGAATACAGATAACAATATAAAAGGGGACAACAGATAAACTTTGAAATGTGCTTTTAAGAGAGAGTTTCCAGATGCTCTGTTTTAACGTGTTTGTGTGTCTTTTGTGCAGTTCAGAATATGGTTTTTAATCCAGAAAACTGGTTTAGATCTCAGGGTGTTTTTTAAAAACAATTAAGAAAGAAAGCTTGGATATTAAAAGCTTGGGCTTAAAAGCACGTGGACTTCCAGATATTTCTAGCAGCCAAGTTCCTTTCTGGGGTTCATTGTCTTTGGATTCATTTTCCAAAGAAGAGGTGGAGTTTTGTTAAATACAGGAATGGAGATGAGTATGGAGAGCAGTATGTATGCACGTATATGACTTCAGCAGAGCAGCAAGCGAACAGGAGCCCTTGTGCATCTATAGAATCCAATCAAAGTCCTCCCCAAGCCAGTGAGATAACAGTGTTACTGGTGTAAACATTTTGGATCTATCTGTGTAGTTTTTAATAGCAAGGTGTGTTGATAAACATCCATAATGCTTACATATCTACTGAGCTTCTCCACATTGTCCCTCCTCCGTCTGACTGTCTTGAATTAAGATAGAGAAGTGCCAGAATTATCAGTTCCAAATCTTTCCATATATTAACTACTATTGTTAACTATCTATGTGGTGATGTCATTGAAGGCAGACAGAACCCCTCGTTTGCCCTCAGTTTAGGGGGCTGGAGAGAACACATCCATTCCTGTTGCCCAAGCAGTTGAGCTTATGCTTCTTGCTTTGTGCAGTGTGTTAGCAGTTTTGTTGGCTGTGAACTCAGAGCAGTAAGACTTTTGCTCCAATCCAGATCTACTGACACAAGACTAGTTGGGGCAGAATGTACATAGGAATGTGCTTCCCACTGAACATAATGGAATAGCTGTCAATCAGTTGGATGTCAGTCATTCGAAAGTTACATTTTTGTTATCCACCTGCACTGCTTGTTTCCAACAGATACATTTCCCCATCCTCTTCCCCACAAGTAGTCATGGAACTTCAGTAGCTCCCTGTTGTCTTCTAGACACAGTTAAAGGCATTGTTTATGGTTTAGAGAGTCCTGTATGCCTTCTAGTCCACTGTCTCCTATGTATTTCACCATGATCTTTCAAGATCAGGCAAGATTGACTTTTTGGCTAGTGGTGGAAAAGGCTGTCAAGTCGCAGCAGACTTACAGCTGCACTCTAGGGTTTTCAAGGCAAAAGATAGTGGTTTGCTATTGTCTGCCTCTGCATAGCAATCTGGACTTCCTTTGTGGTCTCACACCCAAGTACTAATCCAAGCTGACTCTGCTTAGCTTCCAAGATCCAATAAAATCAGGCTAGCCTGGTCTATCCAGGTCAGGACACTTTTTGCCTACACCCTCAGCCCTCAACATCCATAACCCAGTGCAGCGTCCCAAATGTGATGATGTCACACGGAAGTGATGTCATAATGCTGGGGCCTTTGCAAGGCAACACTCTGGTATTTTGGGCAAAACCATAGAGTAACCATAGAGTTTTGCCCCAAATACTAGAGTGTTGCCACGTGACATCTACGGCGTGATGACCACTTCCATGTGATTTCATCACATTGGGGACATTGTGGGTGGTGATGTTGTCCTGCCCCCCACTCCTGGAGAGCTCCTTCCCACCCCCTGCTGGTAAGGAGGTAAGTCCTGGCAAACCCTAGCCCCCATGCACCTGAGAAAATACTTCTGGTTTGACAGGACCTAGGCCACACCCAGAAAGGGTGAAATATTTAGCTAGACCTTCAGAGGTGGAATTCAGGATGGGCCTGGAAAGGTCCATTTTACCTAGTTTTTATTGTTTGGGAATCTCATTTAGCAGAAAACAATATAAATACTTTGGAAAATACTATTCCATTTTAAATATTTTAATCAAAAGGTGTGAGTGTATACCACACACACACATTTACACAAAAACGCACTATGCTGACCTTGTGGCACACTGATGGATTGATGATGGTGACCTCATATCATATGTCAGGAGCCACTTTTCCTTTTGAGTTAGAATTTCACCTTTGAATCCACTGATTTGTGTTGGCTAATCACTCTCTGCCTTTGTTCCCCATGCATCAAATGAAAAGCATAGTTTCTATCTTGTTTGGTTTGTATGAAGAAGCACGATAAAATATGTTGCCCATAAAAGGAGATATATGAGTGTTATGGGATGATAAGTGTTTTCATGTGTTAATACTTCACAGTGATTCTTTTAAATAAAACTGAGAACCTACTTACAGCCAGACTCTGCATGGTGACTGAGCAAAGCATCATGTATAGAACAGCCTGGTCTATGGACTGCGCCCCCCCCCCCCAAATTGCATGGAAATTTTCAGTACTCTGTTTCCAGTATGGAACTTCTTTTTAAAGGGAATTAATTTGTCAAGCCTTTAGAAAATTATAGTTACGTAGGATAATTAAGTATTATAATGTCCCATATATTGGATTCATTTAACAATTTCAGTCAACTAAGTAGCGCATGCAGGAAACATTTGACGCATTTGTATTTCATAGGGAGTCCTTAACATGGTGGTGAGTCAGTCCTGAGGACGTGTATATATTTAGTCAACTGAAGACATTCTGGCTGCTGTAATTATTTAGGGCTGCTTCTCTGAGGACTTTCTGTATCCATCTCTTTGAACTTACAGCAGAACACAGTTGTAATTTTCGTATCCGACAACAAAGATCAGCATGCATTCTCCAAGATCTGGGAAAAGTTTCAAAATACTGATAACTGGTGACATCTATATTAGACTACTGCAATGTGGGTCTCCCCTTGAACAGCATTCAGATGCTACGGCTGGTACAGAATGCTCACTGGAGTGGGTCACAGGGACAGTATCATTCCAGTCTCGTTCCTACACTTGCTCCCAATCAGCTTCAAGGCCCAATTCAGGGTGCTGGTATTGGCCTATAAAGCCCTATACAGCTTAAGAACAGCATACTTAAGGACCACCTACTTCCGTTGCAACCCAAGAAAGGGCTTTCTCAGTTGTGGCACTAAAATTATGGAATGCCCTCTTTTGCTGTTTTGTTTGGCGTTCCCTCACTGATCCCCCTTCTTGTTTATGTGTTTTAATTGTCTTTAAATATAATTGTTTAAAAAGCATGTTTTAATCATCTTGATTGTTTGCTGCCTTGGGAACCCTGAGTTGGTGGAAAGGAAGTGTAAATAAATTAGCAAGA